ACTCTCAGCATAAGCTACTTCACAAGATTGCCATGCACTTAAAATGCTACTCTGAGTTCCTGGGGGAAGTGTGGGATATACATGGAACAAGTTAATGTCTAAACAAGCTGACGTATTTTGGATTCAAAATACTGGGTTGGATCTAACCAGCTTTTCTGCATATGACAAAGGAAAGAGTTGTTGTCTTTGATCAACTGGAAGGGCTATGTTGAGAATCATGGGACCTACATATACAAAAATCTTGTGGGTTGGGGGTATGAAAAGGAATTCAGTGAGACTGAATGAAAAAGCTGCTTTGATCCAATCCATTGTTACATACACACACTCTCTCTGTATAAATATACATAGCGTGTCTATATATGTATATAGAAATATAAAAGGGGCCCATTTTCTCCCAAGAACACAATTTTGTGTGGCATTTCAGGCTGTTGTGGGGGGAGTTTGGAAGATTGTGCTTCATAGTTGGAAGTTCCTATGCCTGTGGAAATGTGTAGTCTGGATCCAAACCATTTTCATTATGTTTAAATAGACTGCTTATATCAAAAGTTCAGTACAAATGCAAAAATGGGTGGGGACATATCTGCACAAAACAGATCCTCAAAACACTTTGTTTTTTTCTGGCTTGGTTGAAAAATGAACATTTCCTAGCAGCGTAGCTTGATTAATAGAATCCCAAATGCAGTAGGAACAGCTCCTTAGTTGGAAGGCAGAATAATGTTGTAGATAGTGATATGTAGTCACCTCTCACAGGGATAGATCACCCACAATGGTAGTCCCAGAATCACACACATAACCTCTCTGAATACCAGCAAGCAGCTTGAATACTTCAAATGCAAGGGGAAAAAATCACTTAATGATGTGCATGTTACATGATAATAGAAAGGAGCAAATATTTCACAAAAGCTATTAACTGACCTCAGATTAAAATTATTCTGATTATTCAGTGTTATGTAGAAGCATACTGCAGCCATTTTGAAAGGGAAAGAGTGTGAGAAAGGGTTTGCAGATTCTTTCTCAGAATCAAAATTTGGAGAATTGGTTTAGCAACCCTTAGCAGTGTCAGTGCAGCCCTAAGTAGTGCCATCACTGCTGCTGCTGGGTCCAATGTAGCTCCTGGGCTCTAATGATGACAATCATAAGGAGGTCTGTTCTCTGTGCTTTCTCAGAGAACACTATTTTACTTTAGGGGGGATTTAACCTGGCAATCCATTTTTTGAAGATTTCAGATTTTTCTGCACACTTGGGGGTCACAGAAGTTTGCAGAAAAATCTGTTTAGTGCAAGTGTGGCCCAGATCTGTAGATTTAGGTATCCTCAGATAGGGGGCACACTTGGGAAATAGTATATAGGTTAATTACTGTGTGTGTATGTATATATATGTGAGTGTTTGCATGTATATATGTATGTAATGGTGTTTTCTCTCATATTTTGTAGATTAATTCCTGATACAGTACATCATGCTTCTCCAAACCTCTTGTATCTGTTTCTCAGGAGCATTTTTATTATCAATGACATCCATGTGACTGATAGAGCTCTCTTCTCTGATTCTGTTTCTTTCAGTGAACTAAAATATAGCAGACAGGTATGCTTTGGTTTGATTGTTTTCTTTTTTATTTTCAGGTGTTTAACACAGCCATATATTGACCTGGATTTTCATGGGCTGTGGTTTTCATACTGAAATTTGTCTTTTCCATACAATAGAACTTTTAAAGAAAAGAATTGATGAGGCAAATCAAATTCTGAAAGTTGAGGCTGTTTTATAGGATAAGTTTCACTGCCTTGGTATCTCTAAGTTCTGAAGACAGCCATAAAAAGGCTGTCTGAGGAGACTTGCTGTGGTACAGTCTACAAGTTAGCCCAAATGACCACAAACCAGCTGAGCCAGAAGTAAGCCTGCTTCCTTTTACATGTTGCATGTAAGTCTGTTTCTAGCCATCTAATTGTGGATGAAGGCAAGTGCAAGAAAAATAAGAGTTGCTATTTGACCTATGCAGAATCAAACTGGCTCAGGCTTAATACAAACATACTACATTCACAGGATATAATTCAGTTGTTGTCTCTTTCTCAGTTCTGTGTGCCTTGAAGAAACCAATAAGGCCTATTAAATTGCTTTTCTTGGCCCCTCAGTCCAACCTTTTATGCTAAGCTGGTATTCTTTCAGTTTTAACTGCTCCTCTTCTGTGACATTTCACCAAATTGTTTCCTGAACATGTTCTGTTCAAGTTATTGGTCCTGTGAAGAAACTAGTGCTTGGATTACACATACTGTTTTGCCTGTGACCTTTATTTACCACAGAGCAGCAAGGAAGCAAGAAGGTCACAAAATGTAAGGATTCTCAGTCATTAACCTGTTAAAAAGAAAATTAATGCATTATATTGCCTCCCTCTATCCCACAACTCAAATGCTTTATATTTAGGGACTAATACAAAAACAGTATTACGATTTCTACATTTAAACAATTCCCAATCCTACAGAGACAGAACTTCAGCTGCTGCTATTACTTTGCTACTCACTAGATGGCAGACCTTCTATTACATTTACCAAATTACAGTTTTAATCTTCTAATTTTCTAATAGAAAGAAACATGAAGATGTGATTTTAGATTTGTGTATGTTATAAAACTTGTTTCTACACACTGTATTGGAAAAATACAACTTTTTTAGTTATATGAAGAGTGCTAAATTTGTAGGTAGGGAGAAATTGCAAGTAGATAAATAGGTACCACTTTAGTGGGAAGGTAACAGCGTTCTGTGTGCCTCGGTGTTTAGTCATGCTGGCCACATGACCACGGAAATGTCTTCAGACAGCGTGGCTCTTTGGCTTTGAAACGGAGATGAGCACCGCAACCCTAGAGTCGGATTCGACTGGCTTTCGAGCAAGGGAATCTTTACCTTACATTAGAAGTACCTGGAATATAAAGCTCTTGAACTGGATGCTGCTTCCAATGCCATAAACATATTTCTCATTCTAATTCCCATGAAGTGTGTTATAAATGTATAGACTGAAGTATCTTTTCTTCTACAGGTTGCTAGGTTAGCTGAATGTGAGAGGATGCTAATGGCACTTGAACTCAGTAACTGGTTGAATGATGTGCAGTATGCCTTGCAGTCTGTTGTTCATTGTTATGGCCTTATAGCTCCCCTGATCTTTCACAGGATTCATTCAGTCCCACTCATTCAGGTAAGAGTAATTCTTAATATATTAAACCAGGGGTGTCAAACTCATTTGTTACAAGGGCCAGATCTGACAATAAATGTCTCTTTGTTGGGCTGGGCTACGTGTGCCATAAAACGTAATGCCAGGTACTGGAGATAGAAGCTGTATAAAGGACAGCAGCTGGTAAGCTCTGAGTTGGTGTGTTCTCACTGCAAGGCCTCCTGGGGTGGGAGGGGGGTGCAGAGGAAAATCCACAGAGGCGGACTGGAGAGGTAGCAGTGCTGTGCTGGGCAGATGCTCCCACAATGTTTGACTGGTACAGGTGAGGTTGTTCTGCTTTGCTAAAGCCGTAATGGAGTGGCTCTGCCCACTCTCCCCCAGCACTCCCTCCCTTGCATCAGTTGCTCGCAGGCCACATAAGAGCCCTGGACGGGCCTGATCCGGCCCCCAGGCCTTATGTTTGACACCCCTACAACATTCCTCTAAATGTAATGGATAAAAAGTAACTCATTAACAACAACAACAACAAAGCCCCTCAAAGCTAACTATCAGTATAATCCTAAATAGAGTGGCACCCTTCTAAGTTCATTGAAGTCAGTTGACTTAGAAGGATGTCACTCTGTTCAGGTTTGCACTATCTGTATGGTCTCTGTGCATCATGCTGATGGACTTTGAATGTGTGCAGAGCTTTGGTTAGTAAACTTCTAGAACTAGCTTTTAAGCATGAAAAATCATCTCCCTTCAGAGGTACATTCTTGAGTTGTATGCTCAAAGGGCAGGAGTTGTACCTTCCCATGATTCTCTTTTCTCTGCTGCTGCTACAGCAGCATATAAGAACACCCTGTTCAGAGGCGCCTTCTCTGCAAACTATTTTTTTCTGTCAACCCCCCCCCCCCGTTTCCTACCTTTTCTGTCCTCTTCAGTTTGTCCTGTGGTGCCTGAGTATCCATGGCATGGAGTAGAACCATTAAAGCATGGTGGCAGTGAGTAGCTGACAGCTGCAAGCCACTGTGCCTTGAATGGCACATGACAGAGATTCAATCCATTGCCTGAAACTCTTGAAACAGGCAAGGCATAACCATGATACTCCCTTAGGAAGCAGCCTTTCTTAGCCTCTGAGGTCTATGGCTGATAAATCAATCCTGATTGTTGAGTCACCTGTCTGCTCAGTATCAGTACTGCCAATTTACCTTTTGAAAACAGAGTCACTAGTACACACTCCTTTGATACTGCTCTAGCAGCAAACCAAGCAGTTGACCATGAAGTGTCAGGGTTGATAGCTATTGGAACTGAAGAAGGAGCAGCACAATGGAAATATCAGGCTAAGGTAGATAAATTTAGTTCAGACCCCCTCCACAACCTCCCTGAGGTTGATCTTTCTCTGCATTCTTCTGCCACCAATGTTGCTACAACCCAACATATTGAAGTGATTGAAGAGATCATCTGGAGAACTCCATTGTCCAATCAAAACCACTTCCCAGATATTGAACTCCTGAGATTCCTTATCAAAGGCCAGTTAGAAGACTCCCTTTGGGAGAGACTCTAATCATCTTCCTTTTTACCACCAATGGTATCACTTAGCGTCACTTTCTTATCCTACTTATGATACCATGGCTGCTTTAGGCATTCATCACCTGACTTCTGGATCTAGCAGTGACATACCCTCACTCCTGAGGGGAGAATGAGGTGCAGGAGCTTGGTTTACTTTTATTGATCTCCAAGATGCCAACTTCCATACTTCAGTTTACCAACAACATCACAGGGATAAGAAAGAATACAGAATAAAGAAGAAGTGAATTATTGCTTACAGTTATTTCCATTTACATTGTTACATTAATTATTCTACTTATACAATCTGGTAATTCATGTGTTATAGCTATTCAGTTAAATCTATACCCATCTTGATATCTGCAAATAAAAATAATTTAAATTATTGCTTTTGTTTCTTTTAAACATACTATAATTTCTTAGAGAGGATTAATAACAGAAAAAAAGAAAGATACTTAAGGATATGTCTTAGTAGACTGTGTCTAGCTAGTTTCACAACTTTAAAATATGTTTGTTTCATAACTATTGATTCTCATGCTCTAGTTCCCTTAAACTCTTGGAATTAGGCTAACCTTTGTCCTTACTATTTATATATCTCTAATCTCCACATTTTATACATAGCTATTTTATAATGAAAACATTATACCAATTTAAAAAAACATCTTACCAAAAATTTCCACTACTCAAAGACTTCTGTCTTAGTTTCCTGAAATAACACATTTAACTACCTTATAACCAATATTTCTATCTTATAATCAATGTTTGCTTTAAATTCAGTTTTAATTTCATTTCTTGGATCACACATGTATAACATTGTTGTATAACATACAATTATATTTAATAAAGTAATTTCTATTACCACCCTTCAAAATATCTTAACAAAATTTACCACTGTCTAAAGGCTTCTGTGAATTTTCTTATAACTGCTGTGTTTGCCTTAACCAGTGTTTCTCTTACTTTCAGCTTTAATGCAATTTCAACTTCTTAAATTGCTCATGTACCGCTATATTACATACCACACAATGATGTTAAACATTTAATTCCCATTGGTTTCCAATTCAAATTCATTAGATTTACTGTAGCAGTTCCATCTTAGGTGATATCTTCCCCTCCACCCCCCTTTTTTTCTTTTTCCCCTTCTTAAATTCCCAACGTCTTTTTTTCTGCAAGTGAGGGTTATTCCTGTAATATTTCAATATGGGGGTAGAGCATTCTCTTTGTTCACTTGATATATCAAAAAATACGTATTAGTCATGTTAGTTGTAATCCTTCGTGCCTCCGTCTTAGTGCCTTGGAGTAACTGTGCTTCCACTTACTTTAAATGGTTTAATTTCTGGGGTTTCCAATCTTAGTTCTTCATTCTGATTTTGTGTTTCATTTGGTAGTTGTTTCAGCGAATTTTCTGTTTGACCAAATTTTAAAGATAATTCTTGGACATGGCTATCTAGAAGACATAGTTTTTGCTGCACTGGAAGCATAGCTGCATAAAACGTCTTTCACTGTTTCCATAAACGTTTGTGAAGTCACCATTTTCTACAGGGTAGCTTGGCTGAATATCAAAACCAACAAAGTTTGTTTCGACTAGACCAGAGAATCCAATTTGCTTGGTTGCTCTTTAAGCCTTCTTCCACCCATAGACCTTTTCAGGATCTAATTTTGTTTCAATATAGTCCAGATGAATAATGTCCAGTTCATTATAAAGACACAGTCTGCTTCTCTGATGACTTTAAGTCCTCTTCGCAGATTAGAACCAATTTAGATCTGGCAGGGAGGGCACATTCAAAGTTCTTCTAATACTTTTAGTCCCGTTTTAAATATTACTTTCTTTGGCTTGAGAGCCGCTCCTGGATCGAGGGGGGGGGATTACTAAACAGCAATTCCCTAACCCCCCTTTAATTTTATAAAAATTTTATCGTCAGGTTCAGGACTTCAGCTATATTTCAACAGGTATTCATCAAAGAAAAATTGCACTTACTTGCAGAGAATCTTCTTAAAATGTAAAGTATCGTTTAATGTGGAAATTCACTTAGTTTCAATTTTTAAACAGTCCGGCAGTCACAACTAAGAGCCAAAATGGCACCTGCTGCAGCTGGGGCTTCGGGACAGACAAGCGAATCCAGATCGTTGCTGCCGCCCCGATCTAGCTCCCTGTTGCATCCCCTGCTTCAGGAGCCTCTCTCCTGGGGTCCCCCTAGGAACCTGGTTACCCCTGGCTCCCCCAAGCTGTGCAAGTCAGGTGGTCTCAGGAGCAGAGCTCCGTGGCTCGCCCCAATGGTGTTGTGCCGAAACCGGAACAATCCTTCACTCTTCTTATAACTGCCACATCCAACTTCCACTCCCTCAGGTCAACAGTAGAATTCCTGTCAATAAAGGTTCTCCGATCAATATAACACATCAACAGTTAGTTGTCCGTTACAATCAGTTGTACAGTACTGTGTAGTTGTGATGTTAAATTTCTTCTGTCCTTTGTTTTCAGGTTCTCATTAAGTGTCTCACAGTTCTTCAAGAAATTCCTTGTAGTACCCTGCAAAGAAAATCGGCAGGGTGTTATGAGAACATTCAGCACATGATAGCTTGCTCTTCTTTTTTCACAGCTAAGGTATGTATTGTTTCTATGATTTTCTATTAAAATTTGTTATTTATGGTGAACACAAATGTGAGATTACAGTATTTGGTACATATGAAAAAATACTTAGCAAAAAAAATCTCATGAATTTTAAATTGAGATGTGGAGTGTGTAAAAGCATTATACTTTCATTTAATCAAAGTTGTTTGTTGCTTGTCTTGAAGACTTGCAGAACTCTCATTAAGGTCAATGGATCCATGAGTACTATGAATATAGTTGCATTATATGTATGTCCTGAATATACACTGGATTAGTAAACCATTTCAGATAATGGATTAGTAAACCATTTCGCAGAGAAACCAGTTTAATTCCATCGTCTCTGTCTCTGTGTCTCCCTCTCTTTTAAGAAGTTTAATTTTCAGATTATTGTCAATAATGGATTGGTGTAAATATACTGCAAGCCCTGACCTGGATTGCCCAGGCTAGCCCAGGCTCATCAGATCTCGGAAGCTAAGCAAGGTTGGCCCTGGACAGTATTTGGATGGGGACCCAGGAATACTGGGATCACTACACAGAGGCAGGCAATGGCAAACCACGTCTGAATGTATCTTGCCTTGAAAACCCTACAGGGTCACCATAAGTAGGCTGTGACTTGATGGCAAAAAAGTACTGTTTCCTAGTTTTTTAACCATAATGAAGAGATTGGAAGTCCTTCTCAGGTGTGTTTACCTCTCCCTCTCCTGATCTCTTCTTGGACTCACATATTCCTCCTTCCTTTCTCATTCAAATTTTTCCTCCCATCTGTTTTCAGTGCTATGCATAGTATTATGCCTGCACCAAGTTGAGCTCTAATGTACTTACCTTTAAATGGGAATTTGAAACATACTTCTAAATGTGGTTTCACAGTCGGGTCTAAGTCCCCCCCCCCCCCCGGGGGGGGGGGGGACTTAGCTGGGAGAGGAAGGAAGAGAAGCCAGTGAAGGAGAATATGATCCTGAGAGGTGCTCTCAATCTTCAAATAATTGTTAAGAGAGTGAGAAATCTTACATCTAAACCAATATGGAGTTTTGTTGTTAAAAAGAAAAACTGCAGTAGTTTCTTTTTCTACTTTGTCTGAGGATATCAGCATTTGGTAGATGAGGCCACTCAATTAAATGAGCATGCAAAGCTCTTGCTTTTACAGTTCCATTGAATAATGATGAAGTGAGAACACACAGATTGAGCATTCCCAAATCTCTGCTTTGCATGCACAGAAATGCTTCTCTGTATCCAGTCCTTAGTATTTAAGATGCCATAGGATTTTGAATATTAGAAACATAGCAACATAAAGCTGGAAGAGGGACCACAACAGTCATCGTGTCCAACCCCCTGCACAGTGCAGGAAATTCACACACACCCAGCTCCCCCAGTGATCCCAGCTCTATGCCCAAAGGAAATTATATGGAAATGTTGTATATTAATAGGTACTGCGGTCATGGAAAGAATATGAATTAGCAATAGTTATTATCAACTATGGGAAAAGGTTATTGGATCCCTCACAGCCCACCACCCAGGTACCTCCACCTGGAGAAGGAGCAGATGAAATACTAGAAGATGAGGTAACCACTCCTTTTAAAATTTCTTCACTCTTTTACATAAATGTTGTGCTATTTATTAGAGTTCAGTCAATGAAGAGAATAACTAAGAGAAACTTGGAATACTTGAGATCTACCAAGTAGAATGATGCCCTACAGCAATATATTGTGGTTGACTACCCTGCAGTTTCTGCAGTCTACAGTGGTGACCTGAACCAGGAGGTTTATCAAGCTCCTGTCAGATCACTGATGAATGGCTGGTAGGCTGTGTTCAGCTTGGTAGGTCCTAAATGTACATGCTTAATCTAACAAAACATTGGTGCACTTGTACAGCCTATTAAGCCTCCTAGAAAACTCAGCAAAGAAGGGGAGAAGTATCAGACCGGATCTGTTTATGGCCACATAATGGTCAAGAAAACAGGAAAATAAATCAATTATAGAAATGTCAAATTATAAAAACTCTAGGCTAAAAAAAATTGGGGGCAGTGTTGTAGAAATACCTAAGTTGTCCTTATAATCAAAGAAAGAAATCATGCATAGCCAAAGGTGCACTTCACACTATCTCATTAATTTCAGTAGCCCATTCGCATGGATGAATCATAGACTAGTATTTGGAGGTGGGTGCAAATGAAATATATTTTTTTAAAATAATTTTTTTAGTTATTTGGTTGATTTGAAAGTTATTGTTCAGTTAATTAACCATGTAGTTGTAGTTTTGCCTTTCAGGTGTTATATAAATGGAAATTATTTTTAACCAATTATTGCAGACTCCTTCCAGAAGGTTGAGGTCACAAATAGCTGCAGCTGAAAAAGTAAATGAGAATTTAGAGGCTCTGGAAAGCACATTGCTGAAACTGACAAAACCAGGTAGATTTTAATATATATAATTATTTTAATCTACTAATCCTGTAGATGTAATGATAAGCCATGGTTTATTGCTAAATAAACAATCCTCAGCCAGGCACCTTCCCGTTGCCCACTCTCTTCAGCCCTTTTGTGTTGCAATTTTCTGCCTGTCTTCTTGTTGATCATCAAATATTTTATTGCATTAACTCAAAAGCCATAGCAAATAATGCATGACATGTCATATTTGGATATCACATGATTTCCAACAGGAACACACAGATTTGGGTTTAGATCCTTTTATTTCTTAAAATTTGATTTTGATTTTAAAATATTATTATGCCACATGTTTATGGTTGTGATAGTTCTCCTGGGACATTACATTACTTTCATGGGGGAATCCATATCTGCATGTAACTTTCCCTGAATGGCATGGGATGAAATACTGAGGGATTATGCCACTCATTCTACAGGGCTTCCTTTCTAAATTTCAGGCAGAGAAAAGATAGTATCTCTATTCTAGAGGCCATTGTTCTCCCTTGCAGAGTGGGCACATGGGGGCATGGACATGAGTTCTCCCTCTTGTGGGACGATGCTAGTAGAAGGCCCACATTCAGCCCGTCAACAAAGTGACGGAGCTCTGGTGGGAGGAGTTCATCTCACCAGCTATCCTGGAGGAGCTTCTTCCAGGCAGACTACAGGGAACGGGTAGGATTGTATTGGTTGGCTGGAGCTGGTGACCTAATCCTACCTGATTAGTTGAGTTTGGGATCAGATCCAGTACCAGGGTTTGGGAATCCCTAGAAACAAGGGAATTAAATGGACAGAGGGAGGAAAAAGAAATAAGGAAAAATGTGGATAGAGATGACAAATAGGAGATATGCTGCATGGGTGGAGCAACAGCAAAAATGTGAAAGGAAAAGGGCAGGATTGTAGAAGTTAGAAGTGAGGTGGAAGGAGGTGGCGAGAGGTCAGGCAGAAACAGGGAAAGAATGAAAGATGATCACTGAGGAAGGGAGAGAGAAGAGGCTAATCTATGTAGAACTTCCAGGAGTGGGGGATGAAAAACTCTAGTGGTGCTTTCTCATGGTCCTGGTTGCCAAAAGGGTGTTTGTGCTTGGGCAGTTGAGTTAGGGTGGTATGAACAACCTCTTGTAAGTTTCAAGAAAGTAATAAATCCTGTTTTTCTGTTAAAGGAGTCATTCTGTTTGTGAATGGAAGCTATGCAAGGGAGAGGTTGCTGTTTCCCACAATCCCGTCATACCCCTTAATATTTTCCTTCCAGATGGTTGTCTGCTTTTAAATTGCAGGTGCAGGATCTGTCAGAGGCATTTAGTGAATTGTGTCTTTTTATTTATTTATTTAATTTGATTTATACCCCGTCCTTCCCGCCAAGGCAGGCTCAGGGTGGCTTACATATATGCAGTAGCTAAAAACAGCAATGTAATAAAAGCATTAAATCTTAAAACTTTAAAACCTTTAAAAGAAAAAGCATTAAAATCTTTAAGCCTGCCTGTCTCCCCCCACCCCACGATGTAAAACAGCCAAGCAGAGTTTAAACCTGTCACTTTGCTTCTGGTCTTGCATACAAGAATGTGAGAATACTGGTCCTCTTATAACAACCTCTAACCTGTGACACTACAGCAATAATATAAGAGAACCTCTGGTTTCCTGGAAATCTGTTTAATTCCGTTTCACAGTTCTTGTTTCCTTTCACAATAGTAGAAATGACAGCACTTATTCCACATTGGCTTTTAACATTTTCACCCATTTTGTAGTCAGTATGTAGAGATATAGATAAAGCCCTAACCAGTTGTTTATTATATTTTCTTTTCTTATTATGTTTACCTTTTTTTCCTTCCACATCCCCACATCTTCTATGTGAATGAATCTTAATCTAGGACAAGAACTTACAGGAGATGAAGATGCACTGTTATTGTATCCTGTTGTTAAAAATTGGCATACAAAGATTGCTTATAAAGAAGGTAACAGTTTTCAGTTCTTAATCGTATACAATGAACATATTTAATTTTTAACCATCCTTTATTGGAAAGTTGAAAATACAAATACTTTATTTTCTTTAAACATTTGAATCCTGGAAAATGCAAATTCTTGAATTCTAAAATACCCTAATTATTTGAAATTCATATTATTTTTCTAATGTAGTGTAGAAGTATTCACAAGCAAATTTTTCTTTTTTAAAAAACTTTTATTTATAGTTTTAAATTGTTACAATAAAAATATGCTTATAAGCAAAATTTTCAAAGATTTGTACAAACTGAAAATCGACAACTACTTTCCAGTATCAATTTGAAAAATATTTTCACTGTAGAACATTAGATTCCTTAAGCAGAAACGTATTTCACTACATGAATAGTTGATTCAAAATCCTAATTAGAACATAATATTTCTTTCATATGGCTTCTCAAAATCCCGAAACCAAATACATCTTTTGTTCTGATCATACTGTTAAATTGAGGGCTGAACTACATGTTACATTTGACACATGACTGCCTCAGGGACTTACAATTAGATGTCAGTTGCACGGTCTCTGTGGGAACTCTGTTCTCAAGGAGAGGATAAAGAAGGTCAAATGTACTGGTTTTTTGTTGTGGCTCCCATTCTCTGGAATCAGCTCCCAGAGGAAGATGTAAAATATTTCTTTTCCAATTAGCTTTTATCTGACAGCTCTGGTTTGGAGTAAGGCTCCAGAGCTCACTTAGGTGGGCTGTAAGAGATCTTAACTTGAACTAAGTGGGCCTCCCTGTGATGGCACCTGTGACAGTCGCCTGGTTACATCATGGCCTGCAGAACTGCTTGGGTGGGTGGGGAGAGCACCCTACATTTAAATTGTTCTCTGTACTGAGAGGTGGCATCCTGACACCCTCTGTGAAATTTATTTTGTTGAATCCCAGAAGGATCCATTGGAAGATTTCCTTGCATTTAAATGTATCTAGGGAAGATATTTTCCCATGGGGGAATATTTTCAGTCTTTACTCCCATTGGGTTGTTTTTGGTCTTAAATTAAAATATTTTTTACTGTTCACTTTAATCATTAATGTATGTTTTGTTGTTCCTTTAAAACATCCATGGACCCTTACCCAAATGTTACCTTGCCTTTTTTCGCAAAGTATAGATCCCCCCCAATTTGGATCTGAAACGATTTCTTACACACAGTTATTGTGCATGCCTTGTAAAATCCTTTATTAAAAAGTAATAACAAAAAGATTACATGCAATAACTACAGTTATTTTGTATCCACAGTCCTGAAATTTAAGAAGAACCCCCGCTTCCTTGAATTTTTTGTACAGTTTTTGCTCCGAGCTGTTAATGAAGAAAGGTTTTCACGAATAATCGAGTGGGCAGATGAAACACAAGACTACCTTAAAAAGTAATGTACAATATATACATTTCTGGTGAAGAAACTTCCTTTCAAAAATGTTGGGGCAATCTGTAACTTCTTTACATTCGTATTCCTATCGAATTCCTATCCCAAACCATTTTATAACAGAAGTGAAGAATACTGACAGGTTTTCCAAGAAAAAGTTATTCTTTGGCACCTTGAAGACAAACACATTTCTGGTGGCAAGGATTTATAGAGTAGGGTCCACTTTTTTAGATACTGTTTTTCCAGATTAGGTGGGGAAGGCATGCCTAGTGGTAGAGTACATGCCTTGACTTCAGAATGGTTCAGGCAGTGGCACTTCTAGAAAAATAGTTCTCTGACGGTTTAGCTGGGAATGATTTATAGATGAGACCCTGAAATCAACTGACTGTGTGTCATCTCTCTTTCTTTCTGGCTGATGGAGAGATATCAGGAGAGAAAGAGAAACTTACTTCTGAGGTACAGAAAAAGCTTCACAGAAAAATAAAAGTAAAAATGCCTATGTGGTTTGTCTGCAAAGATCTGAAAGTCACAGTGCAGCAAATTCCTTTGCCTTAAAAGGCACGGAACAGTTTAAAAACTGGCTTTTCTCCTGTTCCCCTAAAATGTGGAAAAAACAGCAATTCTACCTGGCAATCAGTCAGAAGGGGCAAAATCTGATCCTTCCAGTGAAAATCTAGTCAGTTCACAGCTCTAGCTGTAAGTGTGTTTTAGAAACGTATGGTCAAATGGTTGCTACATAGAATGTCACAGAGCTGACCCAGCTGAGCTCTGAGAAGGAGCAGGAGATAAAGCTGCTAGAGGGGTGAGTGTTTTTTCTTTGCTTTCAGCTGAGGTGATTTTGCTGAGAGGGTACTGTGTGGGGGGACTGTGTTTGGGAGTGTGTGGGTGAGTTTTGAGTTGTTGCAGAGTCCTGGCTGTTTGAGATAGGGTGAGAAAGGGGCATTGTTTGACTATAATTGAGTGCCTGGGTGAATTTGAATAGCTGCTGGCCACACCCTCTGCTGGGGGAGGCTTCTATTTAAGGCTGACCTGGAGAAACAGAGACAGGCACATGGAGAAGACTCTCACGGACTTGTTAGATATGTCTCACTCTGAACATGGCAGCCCCGCTGTTATCAGGAAGCATGAGGGTTGAGAGAAAACAGGGCACCATGCTGTAGATAAGGGGAATGTGTCCTGAGAAGTGACCTCTGCTTCAGCTGGTGAACGGGTATCCTTTCTCACCAAGGAACTATCCCTTGGCGTGGGGGGGCTCTTGGTGGTTTGTGATTTGATCCTTAGGAAGGCAGACAGCTGGGTGGCAAACCCACATACTGACTGTATGGTGATTTGCCTGCCGGGTAGTGGACATTATGCATGTTCTAGATAGGCTGGTAGATAGTGCTGGGGAGGAGCCAGTGGTTGTGGTACATGTTGGCACCAATGATGTGGGAAAATGCAGTCGTGAGGTCCTGGAGGAAAAATTTAAGCTACTAGGCAGGAACCTCAAGGCCAGGGCATCCAAGGTAGCCTTCTCAAAAGTGCTACCTGTTCCACACACAGAGCCGGAGAGACAGGCACAGATCAGGAGTCTCAATGTGTGGATGAGACGATGGTGTAGGGGGGAAGGGTTCAAGTTTGTTAGGCACTGGGATGCTTTTTGGAACAAGAGGGAGCTGTACAAAAGCTGTACAAAAGAGACTGTCTCCACTTGTCCTGAGAAGGAACCAGGCTGCTGGCGCTTAAAATCAAAAAGGTGGCAGAGCAGTTTTTAAACTGAATATTGGGGGAAAGCCGACAGGAGATGAAAAGTCTCTGGTTCGAGATGGCTCATCTCAAAGAGATGAAGGGATAGCTGTTACTTTTCTAAAAGGAAATTGATTAGAATGGTCCACTGAGACTGTGGCTAATGATATGGACTGCCTGGCAAGGTCTCGAGGCAGTAAGAAGAAGGTTGTGGCTTAACATGCATAGGAAACCATAGGTGTTTATACACAAATGCTAGAAGTGTCCAAAGTAAAATCGGGGAATTGGTATGCTTCGTGTTTGGGGGGGGGGGTAGACATTGTGGGTATTTCAGAAACTTGGTGGGATGAGGAAAATCACTGGGATACGGTGATTCCTGGTTATAAATTGTACCAGAAGGTTGGAGGTGGGGTGGCTCTGTATGTCAGAGACGGCATACAGTCCAGTAAGCCTGAGAGGGTAAGAGAATTGGATTTGCTTCTGGAAATGCTATCGGTTGAAATAGTGGGCCCAAAAGGAAGCTTAACACTGGGAGTTTATCGCCCACCAAATCAAAAGATAGAGGAGGATTATAAAATGGTGAATTAATTAAAGATAGCGGCTAGACAAAATAACTGTGTCATAATAGGTGATTTTAACTACGCACATATTGATTGGGTCAATATGTGCTCAAGTTGGGAAAAAGCAATTGAGTTTCTAGACACTCTCAATGACTGTGCTATGGAACAGATGATCACAGAACCTACCAGGGGAGAGGCGACCCTGGATTTCATCCTAAGTAATGCCCAAGACCTCGTGAGAGATGTAAAAGTGATTGCACCACTTGGGAACAGCGACCATAATTTTATTGTTTAACATTTGTATAAATAGGGAGCTGCCCAAAAAGACTGACACAACCACTTTTAACTTTAAAAGGAGTAACCTCTCTGATACGAGGGGACATGTGAGGAGGAAACCAAAAGGAAAAGTAGAAAAGGGTCAAAACCATTGGGGAAGCTTGGAGACCATTTAAAACTAAATTTAATCCTAGAAGCTCAGAAAAAATATATATCGCAGATTAGGAAAGGCACAAATAGGTATAGAAAAAGGCCTGCATGGTTAACAAACAAAGTAATGGAAGCTGTAAAAGGTAAGAAGGATTCCTTTAAGCGGTGGAAAGCTAGTCTCAGTGAGGTTGATAAAAGGGAACACAGGCTGTGGCAAATAAAATGCAAGTCTGTGATCAGGCAGGCAAAAAGGGAATATGAGGAGCATATTGCAAAAAACATAAAGGTCAACAATAAACCTTTCTTCAAATACTTAGAAGCAGGAAACCAGCCAGGGAGGCAGTGGGGCCCTTGGATGACCAAGGGGTAAAAGGAGTACTGAAGGATGATAGGGAAATGGCTGAGAAGCTGAATACATTTTTTACCTCTGTCTTCATCGTGGAAGATGAGAAGTGCTTGCCCACTCCAGAACCGCTGATTTCGGGAAGGGTGTCGAAAGACCTGTCAGATAGAGGTGATGAGAGAGGAGGTCCTACAACTGATAGACAACTTAAAAACTGATAAATCACCAGGCCCGGGTGGCATACATCCGAGAGTTCTGAAAGAACTCAAATGTGAACTTGTGGATCTCCTGACAAAGATATGTAATCTTTCCTTAAAATATGCCTCCATTCCTGAGGATTGGAAGGTAGCTAATGTCACTCCCATCTTTAAAAAGGGTTCCAGAGGAGATCTTGGAAATTAAAGGCCAGTCAGTCTGACATCGATACTGGGTAAGTTGGTGAAAACTGTTATTAAGGAAAGAATTAGTAGGCACATTGATGAACAAAACCTATTGAGGAAGACTCAGCACGGGTTCTGTACGGGAAGATCTTGTCTCACTAACCTGTTAGTGTTCTTTGAGGGACTGAACAAACATGTGGACAAGGGGGACCCAATAGATGTTGTTTACCTTGACTCTTCCAGAAAGCTTTTGATAAAGTTCCTAATCAAAAGCTCCTAAGTAAGCTCAATAGTCACAGGATAAAAGGACAAGTCCTTTTGTGGATCAAAAACTGGCTAATTAATAGGAAATATTGAGTGAGTATAAATGGGCAATTTTCTCAGTGGAGGGTGGTAAGCAGTGGGGTACCACAGGGATCAGGACTCGGTCCGATGCTTTTTAACTTGTTTATTAATGATTTGGGAATAAGCAGTGAAGTGGCTAAATTTGCAGATGACACGAAGTTGTTCAGGGTTGTGAGAACCAGGAAGGATTGTGAGGCACTTTAAAGGGAATTGTCGAGGATGGGCGAGTGGGCGTCAAGGTGGTAAATGGGGTTCAATGTGGCCAAGTGCAAAGTGATGCACATTGGAGCCAGAAATGCTAACTATAAATACACGTTGATGGGGTCTGAACTGGCAGAGACTGACCAAGAGAGAGATCTTGGAGTCGTAGTAGATAACTCACTGAAAATGTCTAGTCAGTGTGCAACTGTAATAAAAAAGGCCAACACTATGCTGGGGATTATCAGGAAGGGAATTGAAAACAAATCAGCCAGTATCATAATGCCCTTGTATAAATCAATGGTGCGACCTCGTTTGGAGTACTGTGTACAGTTCTGGTCACCACACCTGAAAAAGGATATTATAGCATTGGAAAAAGTGCAGAAAAGGGCAACTAGAATGATAAAAGGGTTGGAGCACTTTCCCTATGAGGAAAGGAGAAAATGCTTAGGGCTCTTTATCTTGGAAAAACAACGGCTGAGGGGTGACATGATCGAGCTTTATAAGATTATACATGGGATAGAGCAGGTCGAGAAAGAAGTCCTTTTCTCCCTTTCTCACAATACAAGAACTCATGGGCACTCAATGATATTGCTGAGCAGTGAAGTTAGAACAGATAAAAGGAAGTACTTCTTCATCCAAAGAGTTATTAACACATGGAATTCACTGCCACAGGAGGTGGTGGTGGCTACAAGCATGGACGGCTTCAAGAGGAAATTGGATAAACATATGGAGCAGAGGTCCATCAGTGGCTATTAGCCACAAGGTATAGACAGGAACTCTCAGTCTGGGGCAAAGGATGCTCTCTCTGTATTCTTGGTGCTTGGGGGGGCAACAGTGGGAGGGCTTCTAGTATCCTGGCCTTACTGCTGGACCTCCTGATGGCACCTGGTATTTTTGACCACCGTGTGACAGAGTGTTGGACTGGATGGGCCTTTGGCCTGATCCAGCATTGGCTTCTCTTATGTTCTTATGTTCTCTTATGTTCTTATGTTCAAAAACCTTTTGAAACACACACATATATGA